AGTCACTTAGATTTTACAAATACGTGAGCTGTTCACAGCCCGGCACACGTATTTGTAAAATCTAAGTGACTCGTACAACATGGAATTCATATAAAACGGAAAAATCAACAGTGTTATAGGGGGTCTACTGTATACAACTTTTATATAATTTTCTCTGTTTGGTATGCAAAAAATAATAACTGATTCCATATTTATACATTGTAATTATTGAGAAAATAAACATATTAAACAAGAATTTGTTGGATTAATCTCTAAAAATTCAATATAATTACTAAATAAGAAAATTAAAGCTAGATGACCGGCACGACTCTATTGCTAACAGGAAAAATATGATGTACAGGGCAAGACACTACTAATTTGAGGTAGAGAGCATATATTTGAAATTAACTCGCAGCCCGGCATTGTGACCATGTCGCAGTATTTGCTTGTTTACTAATGCAAAACCCAAAACTGTATAGGATCACGGGCCAGTTACGCTCATTACCGGAACCGAATTAAAAATAGACGACAATGAATGAGACCAGAGTGTGGTTTGAAACTGGATATCCCAAAATTATAGGTTAACATTAAATTGCATAAAAGTAGAAAATAATACGTGCAATATATTGGACACCACGAGAGTCATGCAGCGTGGCTATCTCGGCATTTAATGTATTGTACATGTAATGTATACTCGTTTAATATTATTAACACTTAAAATTTAAATAAAGTCGAACATTTATAATTTTAGACACGATATTAACAATAAGTAAGAAAAGGAATAACTTACAATTTTTACAATTGATTCTCTCGCTGCCATCTCCGCAAGAATACCTTCCTCCAGTACACCAGTAAATTTTACCAATGCAAACTCCGTTGGTGCATTCAAATTGATCATTTTTGCATCTTTCTTTATTCGATAAAATATTTTATAAAAATAAATTATGTAATTTTAAGTTAATTCAATAAATATTTACTTGTACAGTACAGTAGACCCCCTATAACACTGTTGATTATTCCGTTTTATGTGAATTCCATGTTGTACGAGTCACTTAGATTTTACAAATACGTGTGCCAGGCTGTGAACAGCTCACGTATTAGTAAAATCTAAGTGATTCGTACAACATGGAATTCATATAAAACGGAAAAATCAACAGTGTTATAGAGGGGTTGACTGTACTTACTTATGAATGGATCGGCATTTGTGATACAAAAAAGAGAGATGACCCACAACACGAATGTCTTCATTACTTAAATGTCTAACAGACGTTTAAAACAAAATTAAAGTGTAAAGCTGAACAATAAAAGTACGTCAGGTCGAGCTATTTTTAATACCAGTTATTCTATATCTACGGACATCCTGCGATGTGTTTACTCCATCGACTGCGAGTTAAATTCTCACAAAGCCTATAAATGAATGAAATAATATTAACAATAATTTATGTCTTTTACACTCGCTGAATTATTTATTAAAACTTTAATTCGAAAATGTATTTAAAAAAGCATTAGAAATTAATATAACTATCATATAATTTTCTCACTTTGTATTTAAATGGTAAATACAGTCGNTATTTGTAAAATCTAAGTGACTCGTACAACATGGAATTCATATAAAACGGAATAATCAACAGTGTTATAGGGGGTCGACTGTACTTATGCCAAAATGTCTCGCATTTCATCAAACACATCAGTAAATTTTATTCAAAAAATTTAGAAATTTATTCATACATTTTCCATTTCCAAGAATTGCAATTCGATGTCTAATTATTCAGCAAAATTACCAGACACGGTGACTCGTTCAACAGAAAAGTATGAAAAATTCTGTTATTAATTCGATACTCCGAATGGATGAATGTCTTATTGGAAGGAAAGATAGAAGGCAAAACAGGACGCGGAAGATCCAGAGTGGAATATCTCGACGATTTATTATGGAAAAGGCCTTATCAACAAGTAAACCAACTAGCTGAGTGAAGAGAGTAGTTATAAGATTACTTCCATGTTTGCCCACCAACCATTTGTTTGAGCAGAGAGAGAGAGAGAGAGAACGTAAAAGAAATTACACTCACAGTTTTACAAAATTTTTTTATTTATCAATAAACAAGTCATACGAATTCTTACGGACATTAAGTTGGTCCATTCGGACATGTCGGGCTCTGTCTTTCACTACCCGGCTTTCCCACTGTACTTACTAATAAGCTTACTAAAAAGTGTCCACAGAGAGGAGAGTTAAAAAAAAAAAACCGCTCCGGAGACAAGCGAGCAATTCTTCGAGAATTTTTCATGGAGATGTATCTTTTTTGCTCTCCACCCCGTGGATATTAAAATGCTTTTCTCTGGACCGTCGTGGGTTCAGCAAGACCCACAATACGGTAGCTGGGTGATGAGGAACGGAACTCGACGTATCTAAGATATATCATCTCGAACGCTTTCAGATTCGTTCCTGGGTCCCGCAAAGCATCAGCTTTGCGGGACCCAGGAACCACGCCTCTGCCTCGATTAGCCGGCAAAACACAATGGTATCCACATTTAAGGATTGGTTTGATGTGACGAAGTAAAGCAACACGTGAGCGATCTGCCAAAATGAAAGTGCATCTCGAGAGGATTCTGATGGAAATAAACTAATTTATTTAGATGTTAGACCCCACACGAAAAAAATCTCGAACGGTGAGGCTCAAACCCATGACCAAACTATTAGTATTCGGTGGTTTTATCCACTCGGTCACTGGATTGAATTCTGCTAAATGTTAAGTGCAGATCTCAGCAAACTGTTGCGAAGCAAAAGTTCAATTCTGCTTAAGTTAAAATGTATGCTTTCTACCTCAAATTAGTAGCGGTCTGTCCTTGTATATCATACTTTCCCTTTAACAATAGTATCGTGCCGGTCATGTATCTAACACCTTTCAGGAAAAATTTTTGAATTGAAATGTTATGTTTTGCATCGAAAGTTTGTACTGTATAGAGTTAATGACGCGAATCCGAACTGTAGTTCAACATGAACGAATTTAAAAGTTATTATTATGTAGTTTTTATCTATCGACCGTTACACTATTATATGTAACACTTAATTGTTATATCGTGCCAGGAGCGGGACGGGCTAGCCACATGGAGTTTTCCGGGTTTTCTCTATGTCTGTAATGCCTGAATAGGGGCCAGTTACTCTTAAATCTTTCCTCACTGTGGGCACTAAGAGGGCCTCTTTTCAGTAGACCCATTATGAGTTCGGCCAGGTCCGCAATGGGGAAGCCGGGTGGTGAGGGACGGGGCCCAACATATCTGGACGGACCACCCCCAAAAAATTTCTGGGAATTTTTAACTATTACTATTAAATTTATTAATAAAATATAGAAAATATGTCATTTTAAAATTTTTTGTTTTATAATTTTATTTAAAATTATGTTTAAAAAATTTTTAATAATTATGGTGTGGAAGACGATCACGTTTTCGCCGTTAGGGGGTGTTCAGTCGGAGCGGAATCGGAAGTTCACGCATGCATTAGAGTCGGTAGTAAGCATGGTGGAGTAGGAGGAGGCCTCTGGAAACGAAGTTAAGGTCTGTTTAAATACAAAATCTCCATAAAATATGAAAATTGTAGGCAAAGTATATTTGTGCTTCGTCCACCAAACTCCTTTATTTATTGGTTTGAGTCTAGGAATAGCATTATCTCTCGTACTGATCCCTTTAATGGAGGATAATTGTATATTCCACGAGCAACAGAATTCACCAATTTCTCACGAAGATTACGAGCCAATTATAAATCTTCAGATCAGACCTGTTCAGAGGACGAAAACGCGATTGGTCAGACCCAGATATTACTCGACGGAGTTAGGAATCAAAGAGAAGCTTTTAATTGCCATTGTGGTCAATTCCTCTTCCACGTCTGTACCCAAACTGGAGAAGAATCTCGTGGCCGTCAATCGCACCCTCTCCACTCACGCCGACAAGTTGGTGTACTTTGTGGACTCCGCCGGGCCCCCGGCTGGCCTTCCCGCCGTGGTCGGGTTTGACGATCCCCGTCCGAATCTCCTGCCCCTGCACGTGCTGCAGTACCTGAACGACAACTACCTTAACGATTACGACTATTACTTTGTGGCCGAACACACCACCTTTGTGGTCGGAGCAGCTCTACGGCGCTACGTCGACCGTCTGGGAGTGGACCGGGAGGCGTACGTGGGTCTCCGCTCCGGTCTGGAAGATGCTCCCTGGTGTTCTTTCAAAGCTGGCATCCTGCTAAGTAACAAGGTGTTGAGGGGAGTTACGGACAAACTGAAATGGTGCGTGGATAACTGGACGGACGACGGAGATGGCTTCGGAAAGTGTGTCTACCACGTTCTTGACCTGCCTTGCTCTGATGGAGTGCAGGTGAGTGTAATGTTGGATAGTTTTATAATATATTGTGCAGAATTTTACTTTTAACAACACTATACTGAAGAAAGTGCAGTTAATCCAAAGCTTTAACATATTAGAGGTAATACATTTTACATTTTCATAGATAAAACAGTAAATAGGTATTTCTGAATGTTACATTTAGAATTGCCTTGCACATAACTATTAGTTAATGAACTAAATTTGTGACAAAGAATGGTAAGAGATACCAAATAGAACAGTAAAACATGCACAATCATCAGCTTTGCCTTATAACAAGTGACTTGTACAGTTGAAACAAAGATGCTTTCAGCTGGAACACACATTTCACATATTCATTCTGATATCGGATGTGCCAATGGCAAACTGTACCAGGACACAATTAGCACTTTGCTAATCACATTTTTCTACAGTTTAGTTTTTTAGTGATAAAATCTTTTTAACATTCAACTTTTCCTATGCTAACAATTGCAATTTTGTGCTAATATTTCCTGCGATTATTAAAAATATAGTAATATAAAGAGCTGTTCTCAAAGGCAAATTTCGGTTTGTTGATCAATTTCTGTTGTCCTTGTCTACTTGGACCTAATCAGAAACCACACTAATATCAATATAATAAGTCCTATTACTAAACAATGTCCAAGTAGACAAGGATACGAACATAAATTGATAAGAGTAGGGACATAGAGGTAAAAAGAATTTGTATGAAGTGTACTGTTCACTGTCATTATAATATAATAATTCACTTTCTGTTGTGAAAGTACAGTATATGAGAAAACCAGACTGAGACTTAGTGTATTGCGACTGTTTGTTTTGCAAGCTAATAGTTTCACTCTATTGTCTTTTGGGTAGCACATTAGCAGTTATTGTTTGTTTCCACATGGAATTGCAGTGTTTGTTATCCTCATATTTATCACCATATAAACTTTGTCTATTACATCATATAAAATATTGCTTGTCGTTGAGTATCTTTGGCATTTATAATCTGTTATGTTAAGGATCAATAGCAGTTTTGACATGTAACAATTGCTCAAGTTTATTAATGATGATTAAAGTTACAAAAGTTTTACCACAAATATTCAGTTTATGCAATACATAAGATTGAATAAGACTGATTGCTAACACAATTTATCCCTTCTATTAATTGCAGTCGTTTCAATTGGGTATATTAAGAATTGTTGTTATGAGTTATATCTTTCTCTATATTCACTCTATGGAATTTCAGTCAGTTCGATTGCACACCGAAGTACAAATGACCGTGACATTGGGCAATGACTGTTACACTACAAACATCAAGATAGGATATAATCTAATCAATTAACTTAGGGCATAAGGTGAAAAAGTGTATCAAAGGTTACATTAACTTCATATAAATTGTTTGTCATATACTATTCTAAATTTGCTTTAAAAAGTTCGCGTCATTGATGATCCGGCAACATATTTACACTCTGTTATTGTTCTATTGCACGTTTGATAGATTACTTCCTAATTATTGATGAGGATAGTGACATTTTTAGTATGAAAAACTGATTCTGTTATTGTTCTATAAGAGCAAGTCTGGTTCTTATAATAAACAGAAGTGTAAAATTATGGGTATCTATTGAACTTTTTGACGTTGAAACTGATACAATTACTGTTTGTGTATCACTGAATTTCACTTCAATGTATCTTAATCACTTGACTAATGATAGTTGTTATGTGTTTCCAATTATGTCTCGGCAGTGTTAATAAAACATATCGTGCAGGTAGTTATGCCATGTTGATTATAGTGAATAGATGACTTACCAAAAGGGTTTTAGTATATTTGTGACTACAGTTTAATGTTTGTTTATAAATTTTAAACAATAAATACTTAAATTTCTTTAATTTTTTAATAGGGGAGAAGATTTTACTCCTACAAAATTAATAATTTTGATGACGAAATACCTTGGAGGAGTAAAAATTCTATTTTTTCAACCGAAGTTCACACGCTGTACCCGATAGAATCCTGGATACAGCATTATCAGCTAAATTATTATTTTTCTAAAAACGATGTGATGACATACAAGAGTAATATTAAGTCTCTCCAGAAGAAAATGCAAGAGATTAGTCGCTTCTTTCCTGATGGAAACCAAAGTCTTTCTTGGCCTATTGACATTGAATCTCCATTCAAGCCGAACAGCCGGTTTGACGTGATACAGTGGACCCACTTCAACGATACTCACCTGTTCTTGCCCAACGAGTTGACAACACTGTCGAGAATCTCAGGCATTGAAAAATTAGATTTGAAGCATGTGCGGAATCTCTGCAAGAACTGGCTTGCCAGCAGTTGTGGTAAGTGCACCTTTGAAAGAATACTTCGTGGATATCGCAAGTTTGATCCCATTCGTGGCATGGAGTGCATAGTTGATCTCATTTATAAGAACGAGGAAACACAACAAAGCACAACAAAGTACCTACAGATCATTCGGCCATTAACAAAACTAGAAATTACACCCATTCCCTTTGTGACTGAACACACTAGAATCATTCTCGTACTCATTATCAAATCCAGCAATCAAGTGAAAGCTATAAAATTTCTAGAAAATTATTCCAAATCTTGCCTGGATAAGCAAGACAACACTGTCTTGTTACTTGTGTTCCTATATAATCCTAACGAGCCTGGTAAAGGAACAAAAAATGATGTGTTTGGTAGCTTTAAGAGTTTGGTGAATAAGTACACTACAAAATACAGAACCACGGGTGCAAAAATTGCATGGTTAAGTATTAAAACTGTTGGTAGAATACCGTCAGAATTTTATATCTATGATCTGATCGTGAGGAAAGTGCAGCCGGAGACGATGGTGCTACAGTGGCAAACCAATATCGAAATTCACTCGGAATATCTGAATCGTGTCCGCATGAATACAATAATTAATCACCAAGTATTTTTTCCCATTCCTTTTGTTCAGTATCATCCAAAAATTGTATACAAAGGTAGCGTTCCTCCAGAATACATAGAAGTCAAGAAAGATTATGGACACTTTGATCTTAATGATTACGACCACATGAGTTTCTATGTGCAGGATTATCTGGTGGCTCGGAAAACCATAGAGGATTCCGTACCCATTGTGCAATCCGACAGAGATCTACTTAATGGAGATGCGAATGCCTTACACACCATCTACAAGATGTTCCTTAGATCCAAATCGGTTCACGTGATACGTGCCATAGAACCCACCCTGAAAGTAAGTTTTCGTCTAGACGAGTGCCACAGACTACCGACGAGCAATACTGCCCGCAATGGTTGCACCTTAACGAAAAGCCTGGGGACAAGGTCACAGCTCTCTGCTCTACTACTCGAGAGAGAGCGCAACGAATCAAAGAATCTATGACATCAATTTTTAGTAAGAAACCCGAGATTATTTTTTTTGGATGCATTTATTTTGTCATTGTACTGTTTCGATTGCTCAAAACGGACCGAAGTCGACCCTCCTCACAAAAATATTTTTTAATATATAAGTGAATATCGACTATTTATTGTACTCAATCTGTCAATTGTGTTTTCTAAGTGCAGCTTCAAATTTTGTATTTTTTACATGTTGATTTTGTTTTTTTAAATCTAAATATTAACAAATGTTGATAATTCTGGATCTGCAATTTTGAATTTTCATGAAACTAACGAAAAAAGTAGAGAGATCTTTTAATTAAGAGGTGATACGGAGTAAGAAATCTCACGACGCTGTCTTCCAGCATCCCACTAAACTCTAGTATTCTTACAATTTTAATAAATGGAATCTGCACATTGCTACAAAAGTTCGAACCGCTCACAGAGGAACGACAATTTTATTTTGTCATTACTAAAATTTGCCAAACCTTTTATGTTTACTCCACACTATTTATGAAAGTTCCTGTAAATATTGCCATATTGGAATCTCAAGCTGCATAAGTTAGGAATCGTTGCATTTTATCCGAGAGCAAGACGACAAATTTTATGCAAGACACTACTTAAGATCTTCGACAGATTTTATCGTCGCCTTAATGTCGAATCTCAAAACTCGTCTGTGATCCCGAGAGCGACAAATTGTCAAAGTTGCCAAAGTTTACATACAGATTTCTAAATTTTTATCTTCGTGAGGAAACGGATAAAGGACTGTAAATTTCGAGAGGATAAATTGTACAGTTGTAAAGTTTGTATAATAAAATTTGGCAAAGTTTTTGTTCAGAAGTTTGCGGTATTTGTGTGCGTGCGAGTGGCCGAGTAAAGATAACGCTTTGGAATCTGCGATTCGGCACTCTCCGCTAGAGAATCTGCATGTTAATTTCCACATTTTAAAGTTTACATATTGCAAAATACAAATTTACATTACAATTACAAATTACATATTTACAAAAGACACTTTTTTGTTAAGCTGGTATGCCAAAACTTGATTTCTTTTTAGAAATTTAACACACAAAATGTTCTTTATAGTGTAAAATGCAGTTTTTGTTACTTTTAAATGCTGCAGAAACACTTTCTGCACTTCATTATCCAAGTGGTTTGGCTAGAAAGCATGTGTCAGAGAGGTTGACATCTGTCATTGCTCTGCAACATGTTTATCTTGTCAATCTGTTAACAATATGTTTGGAGTGACGCGTGTCGCGTAACACTTCAGCAAAAATATGCGTTGTTTTTTTAAATTATAATTCAAAAGATGCAGATTTAAAATTGTGAAACGTTAGTCGATAGAATTTAAATCTTCGTGTAAAAAAAGGGGGGAAAAGTATCACCTTTCGCAATGGTTTAATGGTAGTGTTGGTGAATATTCTAGTAAAATTAGTAGATTGCGCCTCTGAAACGCGTTACGCTTGAGTAAAACCGTGTCAGTAGTACAGAAAACGTGGGTGAAGATGCTGGAATTAGTCAAACGTTTTGGTGCAGTGGGTGAAGCTTCACGAAAACAATATAATAATATAGAAAAATAAGGGAAATACACTAAAAACAATTGAATAAAGTTACAATGAAGCTGCTTCCAAAGTGTACATTTTGGTTAGAAGTCGCGAGGTATTCGAGAATCTCCTTTAACAGCCGTATAAATAAATCTTACGTTTATAGAAGCATTAAAAATAAGAATTATGTTTGACCACTCGACTCGTTACGAGAGTAATTAGTGAAGTCTTTCGGATGTGGATAAAGTGTCACTTCCGTCGTACATCCTCGTTCCAACGAGTAGTGCGGAGTAGCATCGCTTCGGAGTAAAAACTTCCGTTTCCGGATTTGTATCGTCACAAAAAAGGTGACGGATTTCTCCACAGTAGTCTCTTGTTAAGCAAAAAAAAAAAAATGTGTCACGGATGTACACTAGTGTCATTCACGAGTACAACACTAGAGAGTAATTTAACACGTGTTTATTCTCGAATAAAGCGTATCGTAACACGTAACGTAGCGGAATACATGACGTTTCCGTTTTATCGGGACGCGTTTAATGCTAAAGAAACACGAGTTTTGTTACTGACACCGAAGTAAACGGGCGACCCACATCACCTACGCAATTTAAATTTTTAGACGCTTTTAAGAAGATCGAATGACACCAAAACACCCTCCTCTGTATCTAAGTGACTAGTCGACACTTAAAGACTCCCACACCGCCATCTTCCCGTGTAATATTGTGAAGAGGAAGTAATTAAGATGGACAATTACAGAGACTGATTAAGGTCGTCATTCGTCACGTTTAATTTATCGATCTGTCGTTACGCTAATGGAGCTAACGTGACGGATGTTAGAAAATGGTACAATTCACCCCAACGTCTACAAAATTCACACGGTAAACGCCGTATTATAATCAAGTGTTATAACACCCCCGTTAAGGTATAAAAAGTAAGGTTAATAGGCTTACTGTAATGACAGGAACTTAGTTTTTCAAGAACAAGGATGCAATTACTGGGAAGTCTTGTTCCTTCAGTTTGAATTTATAGAACAAACACACAGAGGGCTTTATTAAATTATCAAACAAACTCTTCTGTCTTTCGTTCTTAGGTATAAATTGAGTAAAGATGTCTTATAAAGGTATGCAATATGTGCTGTATACCTTTATAACACACAAAGGTATGCAACAGTCAATATACAGTACAGTATATTGACTGTTTATCTAATATAAAATAATAATTACAATCAAGTGGGGATGAAGGATGTATTGTAGACGTGACCAGGAATTAGACTTGTTCAAAAGTGTCAAAGAGAGAGCTTTATAGGGCATTGTGTGTACACAAGTGTTGAATATTATTGTATATTGATGATATTATATATTAGAAATTCAAGAGTTGTTAGTATAAATACTTAATTTGCAGAAATATTATATTATGTAACATAAAGAGCAACAACAAAACAAACTTTCACATGAAGTGGACAAAAAAATTAGGAGCTAAGAGAGAATTCACTTACACACAAACAGATTTAGGCCTTTAAAATAATATTAAAATCTTTCTTTATAAAATTACTTTAGTGTGTTTACTCAAAATTTAATGTATATTGTGTTTTAAAAGATTTCCTTGCTATCTTCTTTTGTTATAGACACTTTACTATTGTTTTGATGACTGACGTGACGCTGTTTCTGCAGCCCTCGATAAAGCCAGTTCTTAATTCCACATTGATAAAACAAAGATAAATTGTATGCTCCTTAGTTAGATGAGCGATAACACACTAAATAATGGGCTCATTAGATCGTTACTTTCGACTGCATAATAGAATGACGTGGTCACTACGGAAAGATTTTTTAAAAATTTGTTATAGAAGTGACATGATGCAGCTATCTTTAAGTTAAAATTTAATGAAATATGCTTAAAATAAGTCATAAAATTTAATAAAAATGCAACTTAAGGGGAATTCCCTTGTCGAGCGTGAATGTCGTGGTCACTGCAATGTAAGTGCGATCACCGATCCAAAATCGATAAAATGTTTATTCTGTAGCTATTTCCACAAAATAAGTAAACTATACTTTCTGTCAAAATGTAAAACAAATATAACCAAAATTTTGTCTGCATTGGACAGAAATTGCAGGAGTTATAAGGAATTCTCACACGCGGCGGCTTTTATATTAGGAATATTGTGTTACGTACTGGATATTGTAGGTCGTGATCTCCAAAAGTTGATGATTTTTTGGAGATTTCTTCTGCCGTAAAGATAACTTTCCACAAAAATGTAGCAAAATATCCTGATGTTTTGAGAAAGAAGTGCTTAGGATTCTTGTCTTGAATTAAAAATTGAGATCATTTTAATGCCAAACCACTTTAGCAGTTTTGTGACATTATAATATAGCTTTTTGTAGATTGTGAATAAGCAATATAAGGAATTTAAACAGTAATGGTAGATGTATGGCTATGGTGTGCATTATATTAATAATGTACGAGTGAATCACACCAAGAATTGGGATTGTTGATGTGTGAACCTTGTTATAGTACAACCTTAACTTGAGGAACGATACTTGGAATTCAGTTGTTTATAAATGTTTGAGAGAGAGTAAGTTTTGCGTAAATATAATCTGCAAAGGAGACAAGGGCTAATGCTCATTGAAACATTTTATTATTTTGCATTAATTAAATATATGAAATATTTCAAATAACACAGAGAATTCATTTTTTTTTTTAACATCTTTTTTCTTTTGCTGTCGACAATCTATACAATTATAAAGACTTTAATTTTCTTTACACCCAACACCATAAAATGTGCTATATTTATTTATTTTTGTGTATACGAGAAAAAAAAAAATCTGAAACCAGGGCAAATAATACGGAGCCCTCTTTGGAATATCGATAAAGATTCATAATACTTGTGATATCGTCTCCATGAATCACAGTCGGAATTTCACATTTGTAAATCCGCTTTCCGGAAATAGATAAAGATCTAAGAATGTTTTTTTTTTTTTTATCACAAAATTTTAAAAATAGCATTTGGGTATGCCGACTGGAAAAATATGGGCGCAGAGTTGCGTTTACGAGCGGGAAGGAAGACCGAATCAACGTGAGCAAAATCCATTAATAATTTTGATAAATTACCGAGCGAGCCGAGTCATTCCTTCTTGGGTATGTTAATTTTGTGGGGGAAGAGAAGAGTTGATACTATTTACGGATTCTGTAGAGATATCACAGATATATCGTTCAAGTGGCAACTTTCGCGTAACCGTTGGAACATCCCAGTTTGTTATTTATGTGTTTGGAATTGAGTTTATTTTTTTTTTGTTCTTTAATCGCTTTCGCTTCCGGATTCACTCAGTTGCAAATCTTCACCTGGTAGGAAAATAATATAAACAGTAAGATTAATTCATATATTTTAGTCCAGAAAAAATAAATAAAAATCTTTGTTAACTTACTCAATTGGCTGAATTTAGGCATACTGGAAAAGATTGATGACTGGCTATTTGGAGTTCCATCGCCACCATTAATGGTATGACCTAAATATCAAAAGATAGCAATGGTAATTAATATTTTAACACTATTTATTGTTAATGTTTTGTTAATCTTTAAATTATATTAACATTAGTTTAGTTATCAGAAATATTTGTTTAATTGGCTTGCTTAGTGAGCTTTATCACTTTCCAAAATTTGAGTATTTATGTCCAACCCAACAAGTAAAATCTTTCATATTTATTGTTATAAATGCTCAACACTAATGTCTATTCTTTTATGTGAGCTAGATCAGGACTGTGTGGTGACAGTAGGTCATGCCCCTATCACGGTAAAGCCCCCTACTGGCATGTAACTGTGCTTTTGTTTAATGGCATCACGTAGTATGTCGAGAGTTTTTCAGTAACTGATGCTGTGAAGAGAAATTCATACAGGAGGAGACCTTTGCTGTTGTCATTGTTTATCTTGCACATGGCCAACCTTTTTTTGTTTTGGGCAGGTGACGATTGAGATATTTCCATGTTAAAGAGTTTTTTTGACTTCAGGGTGAAATTAAAAACCAGAGTTTCGTCTTCTATAACAATTCTTTCCATTGCAAACTGCAGTTGTGCAGCACTTCCTGATACTCAAAAGGGATGTTTAAACTTCTGGAATGCTAGTATAAATGTCAATGTTTATGGGTATTATGTGAAAAATAAATATTAGTATATTTATATGTTTATTATTTTTTGCAACAAATACGATAATTATGGTACAGATTAAAATTACATCATCCAACAACCTTCGTTTATCTAATGAATCGATTCGGATTGGCTTACAGGGTTTATGCCTGCATTTATGTTTAACAATATATAATAATAAATAAGTGATCTAGACAAATACTGTGGAAGTATATATGCTTAAAATTTTGAGGGTGAACAATATTTTATATTTAGAAGGGGGGGTTCTCAATATACATTGTAATTATAGTCCTAATAACATGACTCATGTTAAAACAATGTATATCAGGCATTGATTCCCGAATAAACTGATGTATTATTTGGAAGATTCAAACTTTTTACTTGGTCTGGATTTTAAGAAATATAATCATATGTTTCCGTGCAAAAACATTTGATTTATATCTAGTTTATTGCCCTAATTAATCAATAATTTTCGATGAGGACCCTCTGTATGTGTTACTGCATCTAAAGAAATGCCCTTTTGTTTGACAACTCACCTAAACTATGAGATTTCTGTTCACGGTCATTTTCAGCTTCAGAATCACTGGAATCCGAGCTGCTGGAACTGCCACTGCTACTTGACTCGCTGGAATCACTGGATAAAATACCGACTTCAGATGTATCATTCATAACTGAAATGAGGAAAACAACAACAGAAATTAAATTGCCATAACAATTTAAATTAAAAATCAATAAAAATAATTTAGAACGACCAAAAGACTATTTTATAATAAAATTTCTTTTTGCGTTAAGATCGAAACTAAATTTTACAGAGAAAGAAAAGTTCCATCTTAAAATTTCATAAGACGTAATTAATACAAAGACCGTCCGAACAAAAATAGGGCAGATTCATTTATTTACTTAAGAACAATTTAACGGAAGGTTTATTACTTAAATTAAACTGTTTGTTACGGTCGGTTAAAGTTTACCAGTCCGGCAAATCAGGATAAAAACGACAAATTAGGTCTACTTGAAACAAATGTCCCACATTATTTGATTATACAAATTTATTTCTCTTCAATCTACTTTTTCCTTTTTAGCATACTTTTAAATTACGTTTCCTCTCACCGTCTCTGTTCCTATCGTCAAATAATTCCGGCTTCCTTTTGAGACGAATAAAAAAATAAAAAAAAGTATAAATAAGTAAATAATTTGATCATTTTCTTTCTGCAGATGTGAATATTTAGCATCATTTGGAGTCAATATTTGATCTCGGGTTTTAATTTAATAACGTAATTAAAATTTTAGGGAATTGCTCCTTAATTTGCAATTTAATAATAATTGTTTAATTGTTAGATGGAAATTATGTTATAAAATACAAATTGTTCAATTGCCTTAAATGAAGATAAATCAATTTGTTTTTTTTTACATGCAAAAGCAATTAGAAGAAAAAACAAAGTTTGAAAATCTGCTACTGTAAATCTATGTCAGGGTGAAATTATATGCAAAATTTTGGATAATTATTGCAAAAGATTTATTTATTTATCTCTCAATATACCTCACATTAATAGATATTTAATTTAATTTAATTATACTAAGGCCTAAAAGCAATTCCTTTCTAATGATTTTATTTAGCTCTGGCTCAATTTTGAGATTAGACATCAAAATTATTTTACAACTTATCAAATTGAACTCTTGATAATGTGATTATAATTTATCTCTAGTTAAATTCTGTATTAAGAAAAATACAGGGTGACCCAAACCTATCTACCAAATTTAATATTTTATTACAACTAAGCAAGGAAATAAGATTAAGAGTAGGATTTTTATCTCACTCAATCTTATTCCAAAGTTTGATGATCACATCACGAAGAATGTCTTTCCGAACTGATGTAAATTTAACTCTGTTTTCTCACAGGTTCAGTGTTATAAATCATGGTTATGTTTATGGAAAGACATGAAATCATATCTAATTATAACAAACTATCTGACAAAAAGTTATAAATTGTAAAATGAGAGATCAAAGTTGGTGTTTACTTGCATCAGGTGACAATTATGCTTCTTATTTATCAAGATTTGGTCAAAATTAAACAAAAAAAGAATGGTAGTTTCATTGCGAGAGTAAATGTAATAAATTACAATACATTTCCTTCAAAATAATGACTATCTGTATTTATTCGCCTTTACTAACGTTGCCATTGTGACTGGTAATAATCCCGACACGTATTTTTTAGCATTGTCTGACAACTTGTAGCGTAGCACTTTCAACTTCTTGTAACAATAACAAATGACACCCTTATAAATACTCAACCTTGGGGAGAAAAAAAAATCTGCTGGAGCCAATAGAGAAAATAAGGTGGTCATGGAAGCAGAGAAAACTGGCTGGCAGGGTTTCCACTAAACAGTGCAAATTTTGTCAGATGGTGATATCTTTTTATTTATACTGGCGAAATAAATCGGTAACCAGTGAAATGAACTAGCAATAAAAACAATACATTCCACAAACTAACACACACATTGTAATGCCATTTAGCAGTGCTTGTGTGGGCAATCAGAACGGCAAATGGAAAATACTGGATGTCCTTGTGGAACTAACATTATTTTCCACAAGAACATCCAATCTGTTAAGTACAGTTTGGGTCCCAGGCTCTGGTAAATAAGGTTGTCACAAATGGAGCAGTGTTTTGTAGCCTGCTGTGACAAAAGAGCATGACAATTCTAACTCCCAAGCCAGCACAGGATATGTTAACAATTACTGTATATAAAATTCAGATTTTCAAAACTTTTTTTTACTAAATTAGACACTGTATTTTTTTTTTTTACACTAACAAAAGTTTAAATCTTAAAAATTACTTATTATTATGATGAAAAACTTTTTTTTACTAAATTAGATACTGTATTTTTTTTTACACTAACAAAAGTTTAAATCTTAAAAATTACTTATTATTATGATGAGATTTTTTAGTTTACTCTTGGTACTACTCTTATTTTACTGTTGCTACAGCGGCAGAAGTGCTTGACCGCCCTTCACTTTGGTAGCTACCTTTCCGTTCATTGGCGTCATGTTATTGTTCTTGATTTCGACCTCTGAGGTTATGTAAAGTCTCTTGTGTACGCAATACCTGTAGGAACAGTTCATGAGCTTATGGAGCACAACTTTACAGCATTTAATACCATCAGAGGGGAGTGTGGTATCTTACGGAGAGTCAGACAAAACATGGTTTGTTGTTGCACATCATGTAACGAAGTTGGTGGTCGTCACATTGAACATTTACTCTAAAGTAGTGCAGCCACTGATTCGATGTACAGTTTGATTGGACTCTACTGTTTCGTCAATAAAACTTATCACAGATACTGTATTCTGCTGTTTCATTCAGCATACCAACTGCAAAGTGCAAAGTGCTGTAGAAACTTTATATCACATTTCTGGCTATGGGTTCCTTATATCAAAATGTTCAAAATTTCATCCTCTACAATCCTCCAAATTTTTAAACCATCATTCTGATACATCCTGTATATATATCTCTATAAAACAAACCCTTTGAGTTCAATTTTCCGATGGACTAGCAACAGCGCAATTATGAAATTTTTCATTATAAAAAAGAAATTATTATGATAAATACAGAGATACAAAATTTCTCACAGAGTTGTGATATTTGACAGACTGGATCTACCTCTATTCCACTGAACTTCTCATACAACCAACAAGGTGACACATTCATCTGTGCAAGGTGTTCCCGTGAATGTTGACTGTTTAGGCAGATGTCAATGTGGTGATATAAGGTTGAAAGTGGCAAAATAACTGGTGAAAGTTTCTAAATTTCTTGTGGAATCACAGAGGTAGGCACTATGGAATATTGAAGACTATGTAAAGCATATATGAAATACATCTGGAGATTCTGTGTACCAACTCGTTATATCCATAGAATTAGCAAGTTCATTTGTCAACAATATTCTCATATTAATCACCAAATCTTAGCAATTACTTCCACATTATGAACCACTGTGAGTCTGACAAGATGTGTGTTGTAATCTGCATTTTCACTATGTTCATATCACTTGTACAGTAACATCCTAGGTAAACATACTATCTTCATTACAGATCACTCTTAACATTTTTTTAAAGTTTTGCTACAAGACAAATCAAATTTAAAGCAAAATTTAATTTTAATACATTTCTTCTGAAATCTGAAACATCAAAATGATATTTCACTTTACAAAAATATACTAGTAAAAATACCATATTGGGTGACTATTTCCCTTTAGTTTTGACTCTACCATGTGAATACAGTGGTGCCTTGTATAACATACGCTGCAAACAACAGACTTTCTGTTTGGCTGTTATGTGACTCGAGCAACGGACTGACTGGCTGCGAACAATGGACTTTCCGTTCGGCAGTTACGTGAGGCAAACAATGGTCTTTCTGCGAACAAGTGCAAATGATGTTTCCACTCTTTTGCCGTTGCCAATGATAATCTGCTATTTTTATAATATATTAGTATTATTAGAATATATTATTAGTATATCTGAAGTACAGGGCTCCTGTTGGGATTCGGCTTGTTCCCTTGTTTATTACGTACATCACCTCAGTGAAGGGTATTTACATTTATTCAAGTGTTGCGCAAATCATGGCTTCTAAAAAAACAGAAAGGTGATTTCAATTAAAACAAAGCAAGACATCATCAGAAGGAATGAAAGTTGACAAAAACTTCCTTGCCAAATGGGGAGAGGTTAAGGAGTTTACCAACACTCATTATCCAAACAGAGCTGACGCCAACAGGATCAATGATCTCTACAATAACACCCTTGCCCGTCATTTCTGAAAGGTGTTGAAGAAGAGAGAGAAACAGACACCTTGGACGTGTTTTTCAAGAAGCAAGCTGCCAAAAAACAAAGGATGGAACAAGAGGAGATGACCCTGAAAGCTCCGGTAGCCTCTCCTGAATCTGACTCTGATTAAAACACAATAAAAAGATACCTGCTGCAATGTGTAAAAAGTCTATCTGTATGAATGTGTAAAGAAAGTGTTCTTCCACCTCCTCCTCACAACATATGACTATCTGGCATAATTGGTGACTGCTCCATTTTCATTTTCTTTAATGGTACAGTATGGTTATTTTATGCTGCGGAACGAATTATGTGTTTTAACATGTATTTCTATGGGAAAATGCGTTTCGTATAACAGACTTTTCACTTAACGGACATGCACCTGGAACAGATTAAGTACGTTATATGAGGAACCACTGTACTTCATTGCAGGATAATTTATATTAAATAATCCCATATTACAGATATCATTTACTGTATAGCATTAATCTACAATAATAATGCTTTAATTAAGTCCTTGATAAAAAGTTGTATGAATACAGTACTTTGTTATATGAAAATGTTTTAAAAATATTTATTTCTCTCTTAAGACTTAATGTGGTACCTTTGGATCATTGCTTCTTTCATCAACTTTCAACGATGGACACACAACCAAATGCACTCAAATTTTATAATGTTTTGCTCCTAGAAAAGCAGTATAAATTGCAGTCACAAAATAAATTTTGAGTATGGTACATTACAGCAGAGATGCTTGAATATAAGCAAACAAATATACAATAGATATAAATAAAATTTGTTTGCTCCTTCCTATTCTAGATAGATATTTGATTAAATGATCCATCAAAAGCACACTTTATGAGTTAACTACCTTTAGAAACAAGAGTCTATTATTCATGCAATTACTAATCATGAAAACAGATTATTGACAACTAAAACGGAATGTTCAATAGATCCATATTCAGATGGTGAATTGTATGTGAGCCAATATACTTCATTTGATCAATATCACAAATAACCAAATTCAAGTCTCTCATTTCTTATTTCGCCACTGTTTATATGAAAATCTGGTGGAGTCCAATATGACTGGATTCAGGTAATGTTGCTTTCATGTCAACCTGACAAATTCAGACCAAAATCAAAAGACACCACATGTTTCTTTGGTGTCTTCTCTTAAAAGAAATAAGTCTACTAAGGTGGAAGGTGAAATCATTTGTTTTAAGGTCAAATTATGCTAAGTTCTACTCATAACACCCAAAATCTTTCAGTTCTGCTATTACATCCCATTTATAACAGATCTGTCATACAATTAAATCATTTATAACAAATACTATAATCAAATAAAAATTTAACACAAGACAAGTATTTATTTTACAATATGTGACAATCAGAACTATACAAACCATATGGATGCATTTGATGCTAGACAACTATTCTACAATGTGAAAGCAGATAAATATTATACAGTAGAGCATCGATTATCCGAATTCCTATCAACCGAAACATCGGTTAACAGAAAGCGTTCCAGTTGGCAAATTCAAATTTCTGCTAGTGCTGTGGTGCTGCAATACTTGGCTGTCTTGGGCTACTCCAACATCATTTTTGTTGGTGTGCATGTTTTAGCTGGTAGCCCTGGCGCGACCATATCGTATCGTTAAAAATTATTTCTTTATTCTGCATAAACAAAATAAAAATATTGAAAAACATAAAAACAAAAATAATTATATTTCGGAATTTAATCTAGTATCAAAAATGTTCAGATTCACACACGTTGAGAGAATACTTAAGGATGCGCTAATACAGTGTTTCTCAACGGGGAGTGATATCGCCCCCATGTGGGTGTTTTTCCCATGTTGAGGGGGGCGATTAGTAACAATTTATATTTTGGGGGCGAAAAACAATTTTCTGGGTGATATACTATAACATTATATTAAGAATAATTAGATATTTTATTTGTTATATCGTACAATAATTAAAGAAATAACATTATACTATTCACTAGTCTATTCAATGCAGTACGAATTTGGCATTAGCCTTGGCTCTCAGCATCGGAATTTTGAAGTGAAGGAGGCGATACTACGTAACGGTTTTATTGAAGGGGGCAACAATTCATTAGAGGTTGAGAAACATTGCGCTAGTACTTGAACAAGGCTTTTTTTCCCATTGTGAGCTATATTCTAGGACCTTGCATCATGAGTGGTGTGTTTTGCTTCAGCTCATTGGAGAATATAGCTCAAATGGCTGACATCTACAGATAAACCCAAGAAAAAGAAAGAGTTTTGTTTGGTGTTTTTCTGAGGACGGTGTGTCAGGACGTGTGTCATACTGAATCGGAGAGTTTTTGATACTAGATTAACTTCCAAAATATAATTTTTTTTTGTTTTTATATTTTTCAATATATTTATTTTGTTTGTGCAAAATAAAGAAATAATTTTTAATAATACAATAGCCGTGATTATTATTTTTAAAAATTTTCGTTAGGTTTAACATCGACGAAAATCCAATGCGAAGTGACATGCAATGGAGAAAAATTTCAACCGGGGATAGGCTAATACAGTAGAGTCCAGAAAACTCTGCATTCGATAACCCAGAAGTCCAGATAATTCAGCCACACCCTGGCAGGGCGAAAACCCCTAATTAATTTTCATTATAGACAGCTTTATGCCTCATAAAGTATTTTTCCGAGGTCTGTCTTATCGGGTAAATTACTGTACACTGTGTATTCATGAATTTTCATTTTCATGTAGTAAAGGCTCTATGCCTTCATAAAGTACGTACTTTTCATTCGTTTAAGGGTATTTGGGCAGTTTATTCTCTGTTGTATTCTTGAGCAAACAATAACATACACGTACAGTACAGTATTTTCTGAGGAAACACTCCTACTCATTCTTTTTTAACCCCATTTTCGATAACCCGGCATTTTCACAAACTCGGCCACCCTTCGGTCCACATTAGGCAGAGTTTTCGGGACTCTACTGTATATTTTTTCGTACACGATCAGTTAGCTGAACAACCACAGTCCCGAATTGCTTTGAATAATCGATGCTCTACTGTAATATGAAAAATGTAGATTATTTATTTCTATACAAAAATGATATTTTGAGTATAAAAATTATTATTTAGAAAGAAAGATATGTTGATTATAACAATAAAGCTTCAGCCTTTTAAAATTAAATCCAAGAAATAATGTATTATTACATTTATATTACATTTTCACGATATGATGGAGTTCCTGGAACATAAGAAATAAGATTCACTAAGAATATAAACATTTATAAATACCAAAATTTTAATTTGAATGACAAAGTTCAAAGAAATTAAAAGAGTTGAAGATAACTTTATATGTTCTAATTATAAAGAAAAGAATAATGATAACTGAAGCAAAGATAAAGCTAAAATACATTAAAATTAAACAAAATGTCAGAATGGAAAAGATTATTTCACTCCAATAGACTTAAATTCAAGTTAAACTTGGATACTAAAGTTCTTATGAGCATTTTGACCCAAATATATTGAGCAAAATGTTTCCTCACTGCAAACCCAACTGAATTTGCATCGGGTAAGAAAGAAGACTATTAGTACTTGCAGCCAGATAAAGCTGAAATGCATAACTTTCTATTATAACTCTTCTATTTATTATGTCTGCAGATATTTTTAAATATAGTATGTTCATTTATTTTTTATTTACTTTTAATGAGTTATGGAATATACCGTTACCATATGCTATATTTCATTATTTTGTTTTTACATATATAAATATCTTTAGTTTTAGATAACAGAAAAAAATGAAGTTTGAGTAAATTGTAAATGATTATTTCAACAAATCCATTTATAATTTTTTTAAATCTAGAAATAAAGACAATTCATACTAATAAGAATATATCTAAATGTAAAATAAATTCTGAATATTAATATTAAAGAGTTGATTACAGTAGAACCCCTCTAGTCCGCCCTTGGCTAGTCCGTCACTCCGGTTAATCCGACCGTGGTCAGAGTTGAGAAACTTGTCCCGACTCGTTGGTGACACTGTCCGTGGCGTTTTTCTGTGTTCATTATAGTATATGTTTTACATTGTGTGTACATGTAAGTTTTGTGTGTGTTTTCAACATGTCAGGAGTGAAACTCTTTCATTAAATGAAAAATTAGCAGTGTTACAAAGACTGGACAAAGGGGAAGATTATTTATTTTACTTTTTTCTGATAATCCAACCTTTTTTGCATTCCGACCATACCCCAGTCCCAAGGGTGACGGATTAGAGGGGTTCTACTGTATATTAATATTAATATAAATATCAACTGTCTTACAAAACTTATATAATTGAGCAACTATATCATACTTTAATAAAATTCAAATATCTAACAACAGAAAGACAGACTAAAAAATATCAGTTTAGCTATAAACAAACAATTTCTTTAGAAGAATGTTTTTGAACTGAATCTTACTTATGAGAAATTTTCAACTTTTCAACTGTAATCACAGTTACAGGGAAGATCCAGGTGACAAACTGTAATAACTAATATGGTATTTATTATTAATCAACATAGAATAATTGAAAAAACAGAGAAACATTTTTAATTTTCACTTCAAAAAGATGATTAAGTTATTATAGTCACATGTTTTCTACTAACATTACATTTCTCTTAAGCTGGCTCCACACATTCAATATTCACTGACTGCAGAACAACTTTACAGAACAACCATGTGACAAACACTTAGGCCTTTTGCCTAAGTGTTTGTCACATGGTTGGCACATATGATTCATCTGCCAAGTGTTGGTTCATTGTGGGAATTATAAATGTTTGTCCAAGATTTGTTCCTTTTGATTTGGCGTAATATACTTATACGGAGTGGAAAATGGCAAATACCAAATATTCGTCAGATGTAAATCATCCACATCACTTGGCATTGGCAAAATGTTCCCTAAGCTTTTGGCAAATATCAAAAATGTGGATCCAGTTTTATACACCGTTTCTTGCTAGTTAAGTTTGCTGTTTTAAGCAATATTTTGAAGATAATAACTTAGATATGAAAAATTAGTACACTAGGTGATCAAGAGACGATTTGAAACTGAAAGGAAAAAATATGATTCAATCAATAGTTGAAATATAAAAGCATGCAACATAAAATTATGCGATGTAAATACATTGTTTACTTTTGTGAAATTAACTATATGTTTTGTTTGACTAACAAATTCATATCTGTTGTTAGCACAATTCATAAAACTGCCGTGTAAATAATTAAAGCAAATCTTTCAATACAATGTGCATTTCCGTATGTTTAAAGACAAACAAGGAATAAATTAAAAGTAAAATTTGTTCAATTATAAATTACGTTTAATAGATTTTGAGGTGACTGGTTAAATACACTTACCCAAATCGTCATGTGTTAATACTGGCATGCTGGCTACCGGTGGTGTTGCTGTCCTACCACCCTGCGGCGTCACAAGACAGGGCATTGAAGGACTTGCCTGGTTCGTGGGACTGCGATGAGCAGGAGAACTTCGAGAGTGGGGAGAAATATGCTGATTCGGTGAAGTCTGGTTATTAGTCCACATGTTTTTCTGACTGGGTGAATTGAGAGACTTTTGTGAAGGAGATAATTTTTTTGAATTGTGTTCTGTGGGAGTGATGGGTCTGGTCAGTATTTTGCTACTGCCTTCAGCTCTATAAAAATTAAATCATTTATATACTTTCTGATAGATTTATAAACTATAAAAATTATATTATATACACATTCATAAACTAATATTTTAACTTATAATAGTAAATAATATTCTCAGATTATTGTATATTACAGAAAATACAGTCAAACTTCTATATAGTGAATTTTTCTGTATAACAAATTTTTGCATTGTACCTTACTCTTTTAGCCAAAAATATATGGAAAATTACTTCTAAATAACAAAGTTAAATTTCTATATAACATTTTTTTTCTTTTTCAATTTGTAAGGACCATTGATCATTAAAAGTCAATTACTCACTATGGGTCCAGTTTTATGTAAACCCTTTGTAAAACCACAGCCCAGATGCGAGAAATATTGGTTGTTAGCTTTTAGAACCATCATGTAATCTGCCCTCCATGTGGCTACCAGTTGTAAAGAAGAAAGAAAAAGATTAGGTCCAAATGCCACACTTGACAGATAAGCATTTGCTAATTGTAAATCATTTATTATATAAAATAAAATCTCACTAACCTCAAAAATTAGTCAAGCAGTTGACAAAATCATCACCTTTCTAATGTTTTTGACATTTGTTGATTTACAATTAACAAATGTCCAAAAATGTTAGAAAAGCAATAATTTTGACAACTGCTGGACTAATTTTTGAGGTTAGCAAAGTTTTGTTTTATTTAATAAGTTGTCCAGTTGGAATTTGAAAAACTGTTAATATAGTACTTAAGCATGTACTCATTATTAAAACAATTAATGTTTTGTGGGAAGTTGATAAAGAGTCAAAAAAGAAAAACATTACAACAAAGTTTGGAATTCCTGTGAGTAGTTTATCAATCATAATAACAAATCTGGAATTAATTTTGAAATTAGTCAATGATGTAAGACCTACAACAAAAAGTGTTTACTAGAACCCGTGTTTACATCAATGTAGATGAAGCAGTTTTAATTCTCTAAATAAATGTGAAGCTTATTACGAAGAGAGAACATTTTTTAATTGTCTGTGCAACAAAAAATTATAGAGGTTTAAGAAAATGTAGTTAAACTAACTTGTATATTATGTTATTACTGTGTATTATATTTATATTAACTTAAACCATGTAAAATAACACAAAAATCGCATTAAATTAATAGGTTATTTACCAAAAAGTGTAATTTCTGTATAAAGAAATTTCCCTACAGTGAATTTTTTCCAGTATTTAGCAATTTTGTTAAAAAGTTTGATTGTATTAAATAATAATCAACACCCATTTGAAACTGATATAAATTAATTCCAGATGTATTATGTCATCTTCCTTGATTTATTGGTCTCTTTTCTCTGTTAATAAATGTTTGAATTTTCTATAGGAACAATTCATTACATCAGCTTTATCTTATTAACATAAAATTACTATTTTAAGCAAAGAAAATACAGGTTTTTTGTATCAATGCTTCAACTGCATTGATACAAAAAACCTCTAAAACATAATCAAAATATCAATACAAATAAACAACTGTTTCAGGGTGTCATCAATGTCAGGCACAAGCAATAAACAACTGGAAATATAGCACTGAATATGTGTAATTTCCTAAATTGAGTTCAAAGAAATTTGGTATTTTATACAAAAATTTAATCATTTTATTAAAAAAAAGTGTTTTGTGTAGACTCATTCAGAGTACATCAAAATGTCTATTGTTTATTATAAAATATGTGGCACAATTTCTTTAATGTGTAAGTTTAAGTTTACAGTATTAATGGCTTCTAATTTCTTTATGTTGAAACATATGGATGTAGACAACGAAAATAAAAACAATACTAATTTCTTTTTTCTTCGGAAATCTGTTAGTTGTGTTGTTCAAAAGCATTAGTTGCTTAAATAAGAATGTTTATTTAATTTAATTTGTAATGTTCTTTATAAAAACTAAAAAACTATTTTTGAAAAACTATGCCCAAGCCAAGTCATAATTTATTAAATTAGATTTTCTAATCTAATTCAATAAAATTATTCATTCATTTACAAATTCGTGTTTATAACCAAACATTGTCATTTGCTAATTAATGCCAAGAAAAAAAAAAATAAATAAATAAACTCTCATACTTTATTCAGTTATTACTGTTAATTTCCTATCAATAACTAAACATAAGAGGTAATCTAAATCATTACTCATATTCATTAGTACATAAATGATTAAAAAAATATGCAGTGATACAGTATTTGTAACAGAACACTTAATTTTTGATAAATTATTGAATAAACTAATGTGAAGAGTGCACATACCTTGTCTTTTTCAAATTTATATTTTGGCTAAGTCTTTCTAATGTGATTTCACCAGTAGCATGATCTACAATCAACACACATTCCTTAAGATAAGGTTTCTTCGAACCCTTGAAAACAGTCTGCGATGTTCCCGAACCCTAAAGAGAAATTTCTAGCTATTAAATTTACATATCAATAAATACTTTTTACGTTATAAAAACAGTTAACATTTTAAATCACAGAAAATTGTATACATTTGGATATAATCAAATCCACAGATGAAGGAGCTATTACAAAACAAAGAGAAAGACAAAGTGACCTTCATTCTAACATCTGTTTGCTCTCAGCAGACACATTTCACAAAATTATTGATATTTATAATANTTTGTGATCTAGATTTTCAATTTCATAATTCAAGAAACTTCTCATGATGCTTCTTGTGTAGAAAACAAGAAACAAAGTAATATTATTCAAGAATATCAAATTCTATTACAGTAGACCACCCTATAAAACGGGTTCCTATAATTACGATTCCTATAAGATGCCGAAAAAATTGCGACGGTATCCGTATAAAACAGTAAAAAAACTCCTATAATTACGTAAAACGTCATCAGGCAGCTGAACTACTTTCCACCGTCCAGCGCCACGCTACAGAGAGATTACTATCGTGTGTACAGTATTATATATAAATTAGGTACAGTATATATAATTATTCTAGCTATTAAATTTACATATCAATAAATACTTTTTACATTATAAAAGTAGTTAACATTTTAAATCACAGAAAATTGTATACATTTGGATATAATCAAATCCACAGATGAAGGAGCTATTACAAAACAAAGAGAAAGACAAAGTGACCTTCATTCTAACATCTGTTTGCTCTCAGCAGACACATTTCACAAAATTATTGATATTTATAATATGGAGACAGACTAAGTAAGTTAATACATTGTCACACGTGAAAGTAAAATATTTTTTGTATATTGTTTATCGATGTTAACAATTAATGGCAAAACTTAAATAACTAAAATGTTTTTGTGAATTGTCCAAACTAAAAACTCTTATTTAAGAGATTTCATACCCAATGAAGAGTTTGTTAAAGTCTCTTATTGCAAAACTAAAAGAAAGAATTATGTAAATCAATTTATAATCGTAAATATTTACAATTTTCTTTTTGAATTTCATATTATGTTACATGAAATATTAAATTAAATAAATGAAAATTAGAAAACTGTAGGAATAAAGAATTACTTATAAAATTTAATTTTTATTTTTCTAAATTAATTCTGCCATTAACATTATCTCCGTAATTTGATACTTCTCAATGACGTCTTGCATTTAATTACTTTCGAAGAAAACAACTTATCATGCGCAAGTGGATTTTTTTTAACAAAGCGAACTAATTAAATTATGTATTGTGTTTGAGAGTATCATAATTTATTGAAAAATTAAATTTTGTTAAAACATATTTTGTGATTTCATTTATTGTTTGTATAATTAGAAATTTTTTAATATTTATTCATTTTTTAAACCGTAAATTATATTTTTATCAAATTAATTAATCTTAATTTTTGTTTCTTTCAAATTTAAATATTTTATACAAGGGCAGGCTGAAAAGTAATTTACGCATGCTTGTAGAGCACAAATGAAATGATTTTCAGAAGCGTGCCAGGTGGCATATGGAAGTAACATTTCCCCTCTATGTGCATGTGCAGTTTGAGGTTGTTGCGTTCATTCAATATATTCTGAGAAGCAGAAATATGGAGACATGTTCTGGTGCTATGTCAACGTGAGTTAAACAGCGTGCTGTTATCGAATTTCGAACTGCTGAAAAAATTATGTTTAAAGGCTGTTTATGGTGATGATGCTGTTGATAGGTCTATTGTAAATTGATGGATAATAAAATTTCGTGGTTGCGAGCCTGGAAAAGCCATAATTGTTGATGAAACACGCAGCGGAAGCCCGATCACTGCCACAGACAATTACCGTCGCACCTTGTTGCAATATTTAATTCTTCTCAGTACATACAGACTCTAAAACACCTCTGACGTTGAGTTTGACATGTTAGAGTCAGCCTGGCACCAATAATCTTGCAACACGACAACGCTCGTCCACACACCTCGCGCGCAACTGGAGAGGCTCTGCGAAACCTGAAGTTTGAACCGATTCCACACCCTCCTTATTTCCCCAATCTTGTGCCTTGTAATTTTTATTTGTTTCCTCTACTTAAGAGAGACCTCAAAGGTAATCATTACACCTCAGACAATGAGGTGAAGGCAGCTGTCAAGTCCTGGATTCGAGAAAAGTCGGAAGAATTTTTCAGTGACGGAATGAAAAAACTTGTTATACGATGGGAGAAATGTGTTAGTCATCATTAAGGCTATGTTGAAAAATAAATATATGATTTTGAAGCTTAAGAAATGTAATTTTTGCCCGATCTTGCTATTTGTTTTTGTTCGTGTTCTATAAGCATGCTTGCATTACTTTTCAGCCTGCCCTTGTATATTGCTTAGAATTTTTGAATGTTTATAGAATTAAATACTTTCATATGAAACTTTTGCTCCATATTAGAAATTTTCTTAAACTTTCAGACATAATACTGTACATTCCTAAAAATGCATACAAAAGTCAAAGATCTGAAAGTCAAGCAGTAAGTATGCATGCTAAGTATGTATAAAAGAATTCCAATTCCAGAGAACCGAGAAAAGAAATTATAAAATCTATTTGAGGCAGACTGCTGCCCCAGTATTGAGGCATACTAGAACCTCAAAGAAAACATCAACCAAAACTCCACCAAAGCTCTCATTAGACTATTGTTGAATCTCAAAAGGGACAAAATATGAATACGTATACTTATTTCTTAATTCAGTGTTCCTTATACATGAGTAATTATTTACAAATTATTTTGTATATTACAGACCAAACTGACAGAAAATGCCCCTGATAATAGCTTGTGATTTTTGTTTGTTGGATGAAAACGTATAATAGTCTAATTCTTGAACACGATCAAGCCATTCATAACTGAAAATGCCTCTTGTATCAACAATGTAACAAAATCAAGAATATAAATAATAAAAAATGGTCGTCAAGTACAAGAAATTGAAAATGACAACCCAATAACACTGCTGAAAACAGTTGTATTCGTAGTTGCGAGTTACAGGGATAGCGACAGAAACATATTAAGTGTATTATGTGTACAAATTCATTCATTGAGTGATCTCATTGGATCAGTCTGCATGGTTTGAGAACTTCAACAAATTTGCTTTGTTACTTTTACGATATGAAACTAGACACCTTGAAAAGGAAAAAAATTCTGGAACTTTTATAAAAGCAGGCCAATACAACACCCATCAAAAGACAATGTTAAACTTTATGAAAACATAATTTGTAAACACCAATAGTTAATATAACAAAAATCTTTAATTCAACTCATTCTCAGATCCTCAGAAAACAATTTCAATTGATACAGAATGCATTAATCAAGCAAACAAAGGGCTGTCTGACTAATAAGCATACAGAGTCGGAATATGGTTTACACATATTTAAATTTAGTTATATAATAAAAAAAAAAAACTCTTCCAAATTTTTAAAACTTACTTCGATATGAGGAACTGTAACCGTTACTTGATGTCCCTCGCCGACGTCAACTGCTGCCATCTTGGTAGTATCCACAGAAGCCGGTTTAAAATCATCTGCAATAAAAAGAAATAGAAACATTTTTATTGCTTTTGATTATTTACTTCTACATTGTTATACTTCTAGATTACGACTTAAACATTTGCTATATTGGGAGATACCTCAACATTCTAAACTTGTCATTCAGAACAACATCTAGCATTTGATCAAAAACACTAGGTTTTTGTAAGTAAGAAGGATTTTCCCCAATACTGGCTGTTTGTGATCTAGATTTTCAATTTCATAATTCAAGAAACTTCTCATGATGCTTCTTGTGTAGAAAACAAGAAACAAAGTAATATTATTCAAGAATATCAAATTCTATTACAGTAGACCACCCTATAAAACGGGTTCCTATAATTACGATTCCTATAAGATGGCGAAAAAATTGCGACGGTATCCGTATAAAACAGTAAAAAAACTCCTATAATTACGTAAAACGTCATCAGGCAGCTGAACTACTTTCCACCGTCCAGCGCCACGCTACAGAGAGATTACTATCGTGTGTACAGTATTATATATAAATTAGGTACAGTATATATAATTATATATTAACTTAATTTATTGTAACTTTATTATAATTATATATATACTTTCCGCCGTCTAGCGCCAGCTACGGAGAGTTTAGGCGAGTAAGTTGTTTACTATCGTCTGTACAGTATGTAAATTAGGTACCGTAAGTCTAATACAATACTGTAATTTTATACATTTCTTGTGAAAAAAACATTTCTTATTCAACGGCCATAAAAATTATTTATATTAATGATGTCTCCAAAGTTCAACAAAGTTTTCGCAGAAAAATAAGTTATCAGAAATCGGCCGCCGTTTGGTGTGCTGCTGCACGCGAAAACAAGCTTGAGCAATGGCGATGTCGAATGGTGCACACTCGGTAAGTAATCCTACAATTTTTTGTTTATAGCGTAGTTTATACAGATTATTCCCCCCAAAAATATACGTATTTTGGAAATGTTGAGTCGGATTAGTCTAGAACAGATTAATTTTATGGAAGAAAACCTTTCAAACAGCCGTAGTCCGTAAACTTCACACATGTCAGGATGTGATTGGCAAGGACTCATAAGAAATCGATTCATAAAGAATGGAACGTATCTACCGTCTTATAGGGGGGTCGACTGTACTTTGTTTCTTGCTATACACCAAACTGAATTTAAAAACTAGATATTGATATAACTAACAATAGTGAATAATAGATTTGTGTCTGTGATCTTTTTAATGATATCACTAAATGCAGTTACTCTTGAAAACCATTTCTGTAGAGTTTAAAGAGACCTTGATTGTAGGTTCTAGGTTAAGGACTTAAAAAAACATTTTGTAATTTCATTGCCGTTCTATTTCAAAGTGACACTTAAAATTCACTAAATTATTGCTTAAATTTGCAAGATAAACTATATAATTGCTGACAGATAGTATTTGACATTGAAAATTTTAATAAGAGAAAAAAATTATCCCAGTTACAGTGTCCCAAATTTTTATACTAGGTCTTTACATTCACTCGACCGGTCCTTGAGGCGAAATAAAAAGCTACACCGATCCAAATTTGATAAATAGCAAAGATACGTTGAAAAATTTTCATTTCGGACAGAATATTTTCCTCAATTCTTCTAATTCAGAAACTACTTGTCCAATGTAAATATGTTTAAAGTGGCAATAAACTCATGCAAATATAATAAAATTCAGTAATTATTACTACATTTACATGTATTTTAATTAAAATTTTTATATTTCTTTAACTCCATACTAAAGACATCACCTGTATGTGAATTAAAAGTGTAATCTTTCCTTGTATAAACAATTTTTTAGACAGTTGAAAGAACTTTCTCAGGACAGACAATCACTATTTTCTTATCTAGTAAACAGAAAATTGAACACAATTTATGGTTAAATTACAAGCGTAGAAAAAACACTGAAGGGAAGATTATAATGCTAAGAAGCTAGAATTCATTCAATTATTAACATCTATAAGCCCAACAGTTATGTTAGAGCCAAATGATTCCTGAATTAGATTGAGCTATTACTGCTACTATTAATAATTAAATGCCAAGTAATCAGCCAAATTACTTAGCATTTAATTATTAATAATAGCAGTAACATAGCCAGATCTAATGCAGTAATTCTTTTGTTTTAATAGAATTTATTCTAGGATGTAATTTTAATGTTCATTCTTGAAAAACTACCTCCTACAAAGTAATAAAAACAGGAGTTTTACTCTACGACGCAGTTCGTGACCTTGCTCAGACATTTTCTTTGGTCAAGAAATGCTAATATCGTCAAAAATAATTAAAAAATAAACAGTAATATTCTAAATTTGTCATTTAAATTTAATAACTAAGACTTTCTTCCATCATAGAAATGTTATTTTAAACAATTAAATTATGATATAAAAACTTGATTTGTGTGTCACCTTTTTTGAATTAGCACAAAAACTATCTGTAAAAACAAGTTTTATGATTGCTGTATAAATATATATATAAATATTGACCTATTTATTTATTTCTGATTCTTCAAATGTGTCAAACCTGTTCTGACAATCACGTATTAAATGCAGCCATAGAAATTATATAAATATCTACAATTGTAATTTTAATGAACATCTTTGAGGTGTCAAACACTTTTCTACTGTAAAGAACGAAGAAAAATTCTGTTATACAAGAATATAAAAGTAGCAAACCCTCTATCAATAATACCAATAATCCAAATTCTGTATCTTATAACTCACTAATTATCGTAATATTGTGACAAAATGAAGAAGTTGACATTGAAACAATCTTTAGTTTTATTGTAACAATGACATCTTTGGGACTGTTCAGAAGAGAATAAATGCATTGTCTGAAAGTTCCTTTTATTCTTAAATTGCTTTTTTTTCAGTTCTATAAAATCTCAAATGTGTAATAAGTCTTATTTCTTATTAATTTTATTCAGTGAGTACTACAATTGATATTAATATATTGTTACAACTATGGAAAAATAATACAAATATACAGAAATTTATCAGGTTTCGTATGATGTTGATTTGATAGTGACAAATATTAAGTTATATATCAGTCATCAGAGTTTGGGTTTGATCGTCCTTCAGGTATATTTGTGGTTCTCAAATTTTATCCAGTGTGTCACAAAGAGCACAATGCAGTTTGAAATTGAACCGACAAGAGTGCACTTTTTGACTTATTAAGAACAAACTACAATAAAATACCATAATTTTGGTATATACAAATAAAATTTATCATCATTTGTATAATATTACTATTTACTTTTCCAAAATATGTTCTCAAGTAATATTTGAAAATACGAATTTTGCTGGAGAGAAAACAGTGAACACGCTTTTGTTGCTTATTACAATCAAACACCAGCATTTCTCTCTGGATTAAGGAAACTTTTACTGTTTATATGAAAAGGGATTTTCCTATGTGAATAATTAATTAAACAAGCTATTCTCATTATTCAAAAGTAACAAATAGTTTATAATCATTTTACATTTTAATTTCTTTTAATTTATGCAAGAAGACTTAACAGAAGAGCATTATGCCATATCATTAAGCAAGAATGAAAGGTTTCCAAGAATATTTGATTTAATGTATGCAGCTGATTTAACAGATGAATAAGTACATGGAATTCTGAAATGTTTACTATTGCAGTAAGTCTTATTGCATTATCAAACATATACATTAATTAAGCTAGAAGATTGACAAGTTAAAACACTTTATATCTCAAAATTTACTAAAGAATCATATATTAAGCATGTAACTATCATCAGTTTCTAATTAGTTCAAATTGATTTGTCAAGGTATTAAATTGAGTATTTATCATTAAATTTCATAGCAATATTATTTTAATATGATACCGGACCAAATATCAAGCTCCTGGCAATCTAGAATTACCAGAAAATTGACTAGTGGCAGGCTATAATTTTCCACATAGCCATTTTCTTTTGGTTTCTGTGATGTAAGTATCATGTCAGTTCCAGCTGTGTGCAGAAGGTATAGCAGATAGTTACTGTATATATATCATAAATTTCATTTGAGAGAATGTTCTCCTTAATGTTCTTCTTCTCCTTAAAGGAGAAATGTTCTCCTTAATGAAATTTCATTTCATTAAGGAGAACATTTGAGATTTTAATCTTGCCTCTTGTTCTTACAATGATTCACATACAATATGTAGTGTGGCAGTACAAAGTAAAAACTGCTAGAATTTTGCCACAGTCATGAGACAATCACACGTGGCAAGTTAGACTTTTGTGATGCAGCTCCTACGATGATTGTCATACTTGTTTTATGGCAATATCTTTAAATTCTTTTCTTAATGACAGGAATTCTATCCTTTACTATCATTTGAATAAATGCTTCTGTAGTACTGAGTGATGCTAGACAGATTTCCTTTTTTTTGTCCTGATAGTAATTATATTAAAGCTTTTCTTATTAAAGTAATGAATACAAAACAATCCATTATTGTCTGTTATAAATTTAGCTCAACAATATGCACTGCAATGGACAAAAGTTAGCAAACCTTTACTAATCAAGAAAAAGCAGCATAGTCTAGTACTGTATTAAGAGAAAAATGATTGGCATGATCTTTTTTGTCGTTTTGTATGTGAATAATCCATTATACAAAGATATATAATTTTGAAGAGGAACAAATTTAAAATTAGAGATGAATTTATCCAAATACATTAAAAAATGACAATTATTTAACGTAAATAAATCCAGTATTAAATTAATTTTTTTTAGATTATCCCCAAAATATATATTTAAAATATAAAAATAAGCTAATTATTACAGTATAAAATGCAACAGGATGTGTTAATCGAACATTGCCAATATCTAAAAATATAACTTTGCACAATACACACCCTTTTTAAAATTAAATTTGTACTTAAATGCTATTTTGAAATCATATTATGACAATTATATGGATTCACAAAAGAAAAATAAAGTATGCAATATTTGAATGTAATAAATTCTTGAGTTCTATGAGTCAGTCACTCTAACCCTGACTCATAGAATGTTAGGTGTTGACTCCATCCTTTAAATAATAGTATAAAATACACATTGATTATATTAATCCAGAATGACATTTCATCATTACTAAGTGAATCATCAGGCTAGTTTTTAAGTGTTCCTTAAGTAAATTATTGGTCATTATGAACCTAAAAGGAAGATCCTTGAAAGTACCAAATCCAATGTGATTATGCATTATTACTTTATGCAATCATACAGAAAAGATGCAACATCGAAGATTTTTATTAACCAACTGCAATGCTAATAAGGTTAAAAAAATCTAAAATGTTGTCAAATATGATTGTTTCAAAGTTAGAATGATGCTAACTGTAAGGATACAAGACACAATCTACCTTTTTTATTCAAATATAAACTAAAAAAAATTGTGCAAAGAGTTTTACAGACAATTTCAAAGTGATCTGTCACTTAAACAATCTCATTGAAGAATGATGATTGATTCCAAGTTTGAAGACTACAGAACACAAAACGTTTTCTCTATTGCAGAGTTACCAGTTTTGTTTACGACACTTCCTAGAGGTAGTAGACAAAAATACACTTGAAAGCAGATGGTAGATGAAACTCGGACAGTTACTGTATCGATTGGAGTATATCACATACTTCTCAGATAATTAACATATTTACAATAATTTAAAATGGCAGCATTCTTTTGAAAAACCCTATTTATCATTATAAACAAAAAAGTTCAATACACCCACTTTTACTTTCTTCACAATATATGAAGTTTAGTCATCTGTAATTCAGCAATAAATAAAAAAAAATAATGCTTTTTGTAATTATAATGCATTAAAAAAATGCATGATTAAGGTAAAGATACAACAAACCATAATCAAACACAGAAAATATTGATTGTAACATTATAATTACATAAAATAAAATTTATTGTAATGACTAATTTTTAAATAATTCTTTTGTATTAAAATTAATATAAGATTTCATGATGACGATATACAAGTTGAACTTCAACATTGCAAGAAAAAATATTTAATTTATATTTAAGATTAGATTGTTAATCTTAAACATGTCTAACCTATTTTGCTTATCAGCAATACCAAAACTTTGAGACCGATAACATTTTATCGAATAAAATGATCAAAATAATAACCACAATTATAATTACATAACTTGTACAGTACATATCATAACATAATATTTAATTTTACACTAGACTGTTTGTATTTTGTATTCTTTTCAATATTATAAATGCCAATGTAAAAAACAAGGAATTGTTTATTGGTACAGTTATATAGGCAAACCATTGCTGTTACAGCTAGTAGCTGTTTAATTATGTTCATTTGGTTTATTATATAATTATGTTTAATTATGCTCTAACTTCATTCTAGTTCTCAGCTTAGAGTTTGCTAGCAATTTAGTTTAATTTGTATTTTTACCATATTCTGAACAGCTGTAATAAGCAATCTCAACCATTAGTTTTAGCACGTTAACCACCATCCAACGTGCCAGCAGTCATACTAATTAGGGCTGTACAGAGCCATATGCCCGCCAGCCGTCAAACCACTTCACGAGGCCATACGACGGCTGGCGTCAAAGTCAACTTTATAGATGTGCACGAGAGGCCACCACTAGAATGTAAAACATCTTACAAAGCCAGGATAATTTAAACTTGAGTGAAACTACATTGGTTATAGCAATGTCAGGCAGTCGGATGGCTCTGTACGGCCCTAATTAGTACGACTGCTGGCACTTCAGATGGCGGTTAACGTGTTCATATACATTGTGATATTCCAGGAGTGGTTAAATCTTCTCATGACAAGAGCAATATATCAGATTACAAATACACAAGAGCCTAATTCTCTACTGGAACTTATTATATAATATATATGTATGTGTTGATGTTGTCGAAACCGTGTTGTATTTGCTTGTTGTGTACTGGCACAATGAAGTGACGTTTTTCTCAACACTGGGCTAGTTGAATCTTTTATTTTAGTTAGATCTTTTATTTAGTCTAACTAAATAAAAGATTCAACTAGCCCAGTGTTGAGAAAAACGTCACTTCATTGTGCCAGTACACAACAATATATGTATGTGGTTAAAATATTATAGTAAATATCACTGTTACGGTAGATTGAGAATGCATACATTTGAGCAGGTATGTAGGAAAGACTATGTACAAAAAAGCTGAAGAAATCCAACAAGTTGCTTAACTTTCCTGGCAACATTTGGTGGCACCATCTGTTATGCTATTTTATTAAAAAATATTTTATATTTTTAACTATTACAAAATGGCAAAAAGCTTAATTTTGAAGGTACGAATGGGCTTTGTAGAAAATTGTAAATGATAACAATGAGTAATATTAAGCCTGTCATTACTAAAGATACACACAACCCTCTTTATTATCCCCACCCCACAACCTGTAATCACCAAAATTTAATAGTATCAATCCTCTTAATAAATAAACTTCCATGCAAAAAGCATAGGAGTTATTAAGCTTTGAAGAGGATGAACAAAATTGTGCCCCCCCCACTAGTATCCATACATACAAAAAACTATCAATACCCCCTTTTTTTTTGCATTTCTGAATGTTTGAAGATACAGAGTCCAAAAATATAAAATTCTGAGGGGGGTTATTTTTTAATCGATCGCAATTCATCGATCTAAAATTCAGTTCATAATTACATATCTTTCCTAAGCTTTCAGTTACCTGTTCAAATTGCAATTTATGCTTACAATTCATGTGTATATCACATTATATCAATTTAATAGTTGAAAAACTTATATAAATATTACATATAAGTAGTATGTCTTAAGTTTATGAAAATAAATTGGAAACCACATTAATAGTTTTTAGAAGAGCAAGTTGCAGCTTGAAAGCTGTAGTTTGGCCACTGTGGGTTTATTCATCACCCACCTAATTTGTATTGGTCTGAAATATTTTGTTTATTGTATAATTTGTTTTTGACTTTACTTCTATTAATTACACTAAAACTGTTTATGGAACTCTGTCAAAAACATCTGTCACAAGAAGGAACAATACTTCTGTGTAACACAACTCATTGACATTGTGATGACACATACCATTAGTTAGAATCATGATATGAATCATTATTGAAGAAACAAAGACCACTTCCCAAATTTTGAATGTTATACGATATGACCACCAGACAAAATGATTCTTAGTAAAAATGGACAAAGGAGAAAGTTCGAGTAAACCCGAACAGGCTGATAAAAGTGGAAGGATATGGCTTTAAAGTCTTATGCAGTTTAACTTCGTAGGACTTTAAAAATTATCTTGTTTTTAGCTGAAATTTTATCTGAAAATTTCTTTAAAAAAGTCAAAGCTACAGTGTATGTACAGTACCTGTACTCAGTTTCAATAGCCATTGATCCTATAATATATTGTAAAGCAAGATTTATTCACACAAAAATCATTTACTGCTTTACAAGAGCTAACTCCGACAGTAAAATTTACAAGATATTTCTGTAAACTCTCCATACAAGCATTAAACTTAAAATAGCAGGAAATTACAAAAAAATAGCATTACAAATGGCACAACATCAGACAAGACACGTATCAATATGGCAAACCACCGACATAATCCTTTTCGAACCAACGGGCTACGTCACCGGCTCACTTATCTGTCCCTTTTAATCCCGCTTTAATAAGCAACACATCAGTGATCTATAGTTTGTACATAGCAATGTAAGATTGCAGACGCAAACGACACGGTCGAGTGGGATACTCAAAGCCGTCACCGTCACCCGGGCTGAACAGTTAAATGCGATAGTCTTACCGGAATGTGGCGCAACTCCGGATTTCACCAGTTAAGTGTCTATATCTGGCAAAGGATTACACGGATGTACGATTCCTTTGACTTTTTTGTTGCCTACACCTAGGGTTGCCACCTGTCCGGGTTTGGCCCAGAGACTCCGGGATTGAGTGAGTTATCTCCGGTCTCTGGGGTTAATTAATATTTCTCCGGGTTGTGCAAGTTGAAATGAATATGTACAAAATTATATGCAAACCGTCGCATATATTTCTTCCCCCGTATACCGAATTACTAGTGTGGTAGTCGTTGACTTAAAGACAGTAGCGTAGCGTAGGGGGCAACAGGGGAGTCCGATTGAAATGAGCACAGAATAGTGTTACCATCCGACTCGCCGTCCGGNATTCCGTTTTATATGAATTCCATGTTGTACGAGTCACTTAGATTTTACAAATACGTGTGCTGGGCTGTGAACGGCTCACGTATTTGTAAAATCTAAGTGACTCGTACAACATGGAATTCATGTAAAACGGAATAATTAACAGTGTTATGGGGGGTCGACTGTATACTATTATATAAATATATAGCATTTCTGGTCGAGTTGTAAAATGTATTCCGATAGCCAAATGGGTAACGCCAAATTTGGCTACGAAGGATGACACATGTAGGATTTAATTAGCATAACAGTAATGCTGCTGCTGCTAATTAATCATAGTCAAATCATATCATACAGTTCAATATAAATTTATATGTAATTGTAATTAGAATGAGTTCTGTATAGGCATATGGATACTTACATCTAACTGAATGGAATGCAACATTACCACTTCGAGAGAAACTTCTTCCTAAACGGAATTCTCTAACTTCGTTTCTTAAACCTAAACGATCGGCGAACGTCGTCATTTTATCAATTCTTATTATTTTACTCACAAATCAAAAATCAAAACTTTTAACTTGTAAAAATACAATTTAACGACATTTAAATTAAGACATGATCAATTCTCGTTAACTTTCGATGTAATTTAACGATGCCGATATACCAAACTTCGTAATAAAATGAAGAGAAATTAAACACGAAATGTAACCAGACGATCGGACGCCATTTTCTCTGTCTTGTCCGTTTGCAAAACGACGCCCTCTTTAAAATTTTTATCGCATTAATAATTTTTTTTATATTTTTTAAATAAAAGTTTTACAATCGTCGACACTTTAAATAACTTTTAATATATTTTAATAAATCTTATGTCGTATTATATAATAAAACGTTATTAAATTAATAAGATATGATATAAATAATATAACAAGGTCGTATTATATAATAAAACGTTATTAAATTAATAAGATATGATATAAATAATATAACTTGTTATGATAGATGAAATATCAACGTCGCTGTACGCGACCGTGTAGTAGGACGTAGCCTTAGGACGTGCGACTAAATATCTCTATTAAATATAAGGACGGCACAACGCGCTGATTGGTCGGCTGAATGACGTCAACATACTGCAAATGTTGATCGATTAGCTTAATTTATGTAAGAGTTTTGAGAGCGGGCAGACGTTATAATTATAGACATTTCATCTAAAACTCGATAAAAGGCATTTATTTATAATTTCACGAGCTCTTGTGTGTATTGACATTAATGTTAAAATTATTGCAACATTTTCAATTTTGCAATAATTTTAACATTAATGTCAAAATAACCTTGACCGCTCGGCCAAATGGCCGAGTGGTCAAGGTGGCAGCCTACCGCTCTGGGGGACCCGGGCTCGAATCCGAACGGGTCCCCAAGAATTTTTCGGGGGGTGATCCGTTCAGATATGTCGGGCCCGTCCCCCGGCAACCCCATTGTGGGCCTGGCCGAACCCATAATGGGCTTGCAAAAAGAGGCCCTCTTAGTGCCCACAGGGCGGAAAGAGTTAAAAAAAACTCTAAATATAATTCATAGTTTTTAGTGCATAATTGTTAAAACATTTTAAATAATAAGTTCTTTTTTTCTACAAATTCTCTAATCCACTGGTTTGCCTCTCAAATCAATTCCTGTGGAAACTTAAATATAGAAACCGAATATCACTTCGCTTTATATTTTTCTACGCAACACAAACAAAAATAGCTTACTATGAAAACATTACAGTACAAATGCAACATTACTTTTTCCTGGCACTTATATCGATAAACGATTTCCATGATGAAATGTGTGGAAATTCTTATTTAACATATTCGAAGGAATTTAAATACTTACAGTATTATTGATTGTTAAATAATTTATACAAGAATTCTATACTTTTAATTTGAAAAATGGTCATACAAATTTGATTAAACATATTTACAGATATATCTTTTACGTAACTGGATACATGAAATTTCTGAATTTGAAAAGTATTGTTTCTTAACACACAGATTTTGAACTGACATTCAAAAGCACAAAATATCTATCGATAGAAAAAACTGTCAATCCTAACTAAAGCATAAAAAAAAAAATTTCTGACGAGAGTAATCTATGGAGAGTACTCCTATTATTTATTCAAAATTGTTCAAAAACTTTTACATTTAATTTGTTAAGCAAGATTTGTGAAAATTTCTCTTTCAGAGGTATACAAAACTTAGCTAATTTTATTGTTTCATCTAACTATATTAAATACATGTGCAGGGCTGTGGAGTCGGAGTCGGAGTCGGAGTCGTGGAATTTTGGTGTTTTAGCCGGAGTCGGAGTCGTCAAAAAAATCCGCCGACTCCGACTCCCTTTTACTTACCAACTTGTTATGTATATGAAACGGAGTCGGAGTCGGAATCGGAGTCAGAGTCGGTAGATTTTTACGTGACTCCACAGCCCTGTGCATGTGACAAATTCAAAAAATAATCTGATTCGTCTTAATTATAAATTTCAACCTTTCTCGAACTTTTTATAAATAATATCTGTAACAAATTATAAATTTTCTGTTATTTATTATCTGTGCGCGTATATTTAAATTTAAAACACTAATCGCGCTATTAAAACGATCTATTGTATATGATTTGGTTCAGAGGTACGTAAAGATCAAGTATGAAGTTAAAATTCGTTCAAAAAAATAATCGTAGTAATTTATTAATCCGTTTTAAAATTATTTTTATAAATTTAAGAAAACATGCGAGCTAAACTTTATACTGTATTTTCACTTTATACTCACTCAATATTACAACTAAAAAAATAATCTATTTCTGCGTGACTTCGTTCTGACGACCACAAAATAGAATCGACCAGCATTTCCTATTTCGGTGGGTTGACGTCATTCAGTTGACCAATCAGCGCGTTGTGCCATCTGGATATTTAGTCGCACGTGCCTTAGACGCCATGTAAACTGTTGATTCCCCCTACCGGTGGTCTTACACACAAAAAAAGAGAAACTATAGGGCAAATATCAATAGAGAGGTTGCGGCCGACGTTTTCAACGCGAAAACCTGTACGTCGGACGTTCAGCGCCGCCTTCCTGTAAGTCTAGAAGTTTGACAATGGCATTTGGCCCATCGAGCATGATTCCATTGACGTTCCAAACGCCATTGTCAAACTTCTAGACTTACAGGAAGGCTGCGCTGAACCTCCGACGTACAGGTTTTCGCGTTGAAAACGTCGGCCGCAACGTCTGTAATGAAATTTGATATACATCTGTTCTGCATGTTCGGTTTCGATTTTCGGAAAAAGTTTTAACTTGAAAATTCAGCCGCTAGTGCGAAATTTTGCGCTCTTCAGAACGAAAAATTATATTCCTAAGATTTTTATTAGTCAGAGGACCTCATCATAAATATTTAAGCACCGAAATTCCTTAAGTGCCAAGCTGGTATCGCTGTTTTGATGATAGAATAGAACGTTAATACGTAATTTTAACACAGTTTAACACGTAAAAAAACGTTTAGGCAAGTTTCTATAATGACATAATAATTTGTATTTCTGTTATTAATTAATACGATAATGCAAAGTATTTGATTATAATTTTAAGAAAAGTATCAGACATTTTTGACAGTTAACATACAAAATGACCCAAAAGTGAGGTAAAGCTTTTTATTTGTAAAAATAATTATGAATTAATTAAAAAAACATTTTAAGAAACGTTTCTTCTGTATATGTATATTATATATTAATTCTTTCTTTCTTTCTTCTCTAATATGGAGATTCTGGCTGGATCGTGTTTTCTCCCGTACTCTTGTCCGTTATTAGACAAATCGATGTGTGCGAGCTACGTAGCGTTGGAGGGCCTGCTCGTGTTATCTAGGTGAGAGGTCTGTTTTTGCCCAATATATGGGTGTTAAAGTCTGGATGATTGCGAGGTCTATCTTCAGAGTACGGCCGAGTTCTTGTCGGGCTTCCGTATACCTTGGGCACGTCAGCCAATAATGACTAGATGTCTCCTGAGCGCCACAATGTGGACAGTCTGGTGAAGCTCGTAGGTTTCTAGAACAGAGGAACCCGTTCAGAGGGGCAGTGTCTGTTCTAAGGCGGGCCAAGAGGGTCTCTGCGTTCCGAGAAGAAGCGTGCCTGTAAGGCCAGGGAGCGAAGGGTCTGAGGTGATCTCGTCCTTTATTCCGCAAGTTTGCTGACCACAATTCTGTGATCCCTATTTTTTGTTTTTCTCTATACTCCCAAATTAAATCGCGGGCCATAAGTGACCTATGCCAAGAGCCTGCTGGGGTATCTGTGCTCTCGGCTCTGTCTGCCGCCTCGTTTATGTCTATGCCCACGTGGCCCGGGGTCCACCCGATTTCAATGGGTTTGGGATGCTGACTAATATTGTCCGCAATGTCGATAAGAATTATATTTTAATATTCATACTTAATTCTGTAATAAAATGCAGATACTATAAATGTAATTTTATTGATATATAGTGACCCAACTGTTATATCCTTTAATAGAAGCAATAAATCGTTGTATGTTTTTGTACGCCAGATGTTTATTGAAATAATTGTCATAAAGTACAGTAGATTTAAGATAATTAAATTTCGATTTACTTCAAAATCACTTTAAGTATTATTAAATTTATGAATGAGAATCTTATGAATATTCAGGCATTCATTTCGATTAGTTCGAAATAATTATATTTCAGTGTAAGTTATAAATGTGACCTTTCTGCAGACAGTACATGCATTATATCCTCGAGCTAAATAAAGCAATATTTTTTATACATTTTACAAAAGTAGTTTAAGGATTGTGTAGTTGATTTGATTGCCATTTGGATTCGTGTAATTCTCAATGGGTAGCATTCCTCACACCTCAAATCACCTCTTTATCTTCTATGACATCAATAATTTAGGTATAATTTATTACAATTCAGAGTAAATTGTTTGAGTGTTATCGCTTAAAATTTGAAAGTAGAATTGATTAAAGATTTTTCGGAAATTTAATAATTCATATATGGCATTACAGTTATATTACAAACCAGTTTCGAACGTTCGATTAGGATCGAATGGATTCACAATAAAAATGGCAATCGTCAGTGAGATTGGAAAGAACACAAAACTGATATACCACAGAGCATTGCAAACTATTATGTACATTAATCATTTTTATACACGATATTCGATAGTTACTATAGATTATAAGCTGATAGTTAACTACAAAGATGAAATTTCAGTCAGATAAAGATTCACATAATTTATCTGTTGTGAAATGTAGAATCATATTTACGATCAATGTTTATATTAAAAAACATTATAACAAATTATATTACTCCGATTAAATGATCTGTAGATAGTTACAGCTGCTGTTTTCTTACATTTATAGAATTATTATTGTTTTTCGTTCAATAAAATTAATATGGAATATGGATGTTTACGACTAGAAAACGATATAAATATGATTAATTCCGATGTACTTGAGACGAATTCCCGACATGAACTCCATATTCGTAGTTGCTCTGACAATTCTACTCTTAGGTAAGTTGATCGATAATCCTGTTAAAATTTGCTTAATTTTAAATATTTCTATCCAGAAAGTCAGATATTAGAGAATATCTAAAAGTTAATAGTTTTTTTGAAAATTTAAAACCGTATTCTATTTAGGAGTAGCAAGAAGCGAGTTGAGAGATGGTTATCCTTTAGCTTCAAATGGTTGCAAATTTGGATGCAGTGGATTAGGTGAGAACAATCCAACTTGTAATGAAGTTTGTGAAAAGAAAGCCGGAAGTGACTACGGTTATTGCTATTGGTGGACATGTTACTGCCAACATGTTGCCGAAGGTACTGTACTTTGGGGAGATTCTGGTACCGGTCCTTGCAAGAGTTAAAGATAGTCCTTCGGGCACAAGGTGTATCGAATAAAAAAATTTCACTATATGTTGCAATTGTAACATATTGTTATATTTAATATAGGAAAGCATGTATCTTCTATGAATTTATTAAATTGAAAGCATATTGAATATATCGTTATTACTGTACTTATTTACTATGTAGGCCTATATCTAGTCCGTGACAAATTATTAGGACCATATTTCAATTTCATCGTTGTAAAAGGGCCATAAAAATTACCACACCAAGAAGTAGTTGTCCTATCGCTGCGATACTTGGCATGTAGATAATATCGCGATTTACACTAGATGCGAAGGGCGTGAAAGCGAAGAGAGCAAACGAGGCGAGAGAAGCGAATTTCGTTTACACGGTAAGTGGTGGTAAGCGTGGTTGCGATTTCTCGCTGTAATCAATAGATAGCGTTTTAAAAAAAATCGTGTTTATTCTCTCTTAATTTTTAACAATGCCCCGATAGCTTCAATAACTGCATTATGCCAGGTCGTGCAAATTGAGCAAGGATACAAACGAGTACGAAGTATGCAAATATGAAGTTTTTCTTCATAAAGCAGATTATTAAAGCCAAACGAACTGCCGAATTATCGAACCATAAGCTTGATGCCGCTATTAAAATTATACTTTCTATTTGCAAAATTTAACTTTAACACAAAATAAGAAAAAAGTGAATTTTTAAAAAATTTTAGAAATTTTCGGGGTTAAAACAGCCGGGATCCCGTTGGAGAAACCCTAGTACTGCAGTTACCACGTTAACGTTATTTTTGTTTACTGTGTTGTGTAGGCTTATCGAAATTAAATACCCGTATAATTTTCAACACGAATCTTTTTTTTTCGTGCTGTGAGTCGTAAACTTTAGTTGAGATGAAACGTTTTCATTGGCTTGTGCTTGTCAACGCGCGCCCCAGCTATCGCGTACTCCCATTGGCTTGTGCTTGCCAATGGGCTTAGCTGTGGCTTAAGTCTCACGCAGATGTGACAATGCGCGAAGCACCCCCTATGCTTCCGCACCACGGAACCGAAGAGTCGACATCGCATCAGCGATGATTAAGTCGTCAGGTCTGACTAGAGGATTTGATCCCGGGATCTCGAAAATCGGGATCCCGAGATCCCGACTACTTTTCAGTCCCAAAATTTTCGGGATTAAGTTTTACTAATCCCGAGATTTTCGGGATTGACATCATTTTAAAAAAGTTGCAAAATAGACTGCATGAAGCAAAACGTTCAGTGCCAGTGCTTTTACAGAATTGCTTGCCTATCATTTTAATATAAAATATGAGAAATTTTATTCCAAGCAAGCAGCAGAAATTAAACTAGCGGGCTTGCGATGCTTGCTTGGAATAAAACTTCTTGTATTTTGAACTAAAATGATAGGCAAGCAGTTCTCACTGGGTTACTTGGTAATATACTTCATTTTTGTATTTTTGAATTTTCGCGGGCGCCAATCGATTTTCTGGCGCAGTCAAGAGCATTACTCAGTGCGTTTTACCTGTCAATGTGTCAGCCATCTTGTTTTGCCAGTGTGGTTAATATAGACCCGACGCCTCTCGCTTAGGGGGGTCGATCTTAGGTGAAAAGGTTACGACCCTCGCCTTGCCCGTGATCTGTCAGGATGATGCGAGAAAGTCTTTTTACGTTTGGGAGTAGTGGTTTGCTGGATGCTGAGAGACTCACACAGAGACCGAATTTACAAAATTAACGTGTTTATTTTTAGAAAGGCATGCTTACAATGGTCGAAACAATCGGGATTGTAGCCTTTACTCCTACAATCCCGATCTGTGTCGACCGGACTGTTTTCTTCCAACCTCCCTGTGTCCTCGAAGCTATAACTAAAACGGGCTTATAAGTATTTACTAACGATTTCTCCAACTTCCATCAAACCTAAACGCGTTTTCTCAGCAGCTGCATATATGTGCAACAAATTGAGAAGCAGACTTGGTGATGAGACACTGGATGCGTTGTTATTTCTCAGATCATATTTTCGTAATTCAAATTAGAATGTTCCTATTAGATTAGTTTTCTTTATATTTAAGAAATATGTGACTGATTAATATTATTTTTAAATACTTTTTGCTAAGAAACTTATCTTACTACCTACTTACTAGGTTGCTATATGAAAGTAGTCTATTTAGTCGATGTTAAGAGAGATTTTTGTTAATTTTCAACGTTCATTTGCACAGTTTGTTACACAAAGGTTTTTTCAATTTATGTGAGTTTAAAGAGATCTCAGTGATGCTTAAAAAAGAATAAATTTAACATGAAGACTGAGTGATTTTAAGTCTGGTTAGTCTGACTCTGAGTCTGATTAGTTAGAGTGATTAAATTAGCTAGGTGTATACTGTAAAATATATTGATTTTTGTCTAAACTTTGATTTGTTGATTTCTGTAAGATTTTCTTATTTTTTATTAACCCTCAATACCGAAATATTCCCGGGATCCCGGGATTGACTAAGTATAATCCCGAAATCCCGGGATTAGAAATAAGGACCGGGATCGAATTCCCTAGGTCTGACACTACTGTGTCTTTGAGGACAGACATTCTCATGTAAACACAAAGGATGAATATAGAACTTTATAATAAACAGATAATCAATCACTCCTTGACCCAGTTGTTCTACCTGGATACCGATTTCCTATAATTTGGCAACACGAAAAGTTATTTCTTTTCCTTCCTATTTGTTTGCAAAGAATAATACAAAACAATAGAAGGGAATAGATTACTGATTTATCATGATATCGTATAATAATAAGTTTATCAAAAATAGTAACAAAATAAAGTATAAATGTTTTTTTCCAATGTTTTATAGGATAAACTTGTTCCAAAACGATAAAGCCATTTCTGCTTCAACGGTTAAATTGCAAAATAATATTTGCAATCAATATGCAAAATAACACAGAGTTCACAATAGTATAAAATAGAGGACAGTAGTAGCTTAGCTAAAGATAAATTTCTAAAAAATATAAAATTGTAGTTTCAGAATTCGTGATAAATTAAAAGTTTCATCATAGGAAAAGGAAAATCGTTCTCATGTGCAAATTACGTAATCTATAATAGAGAATATAGAAGAAAATGGTGAATTAGAAGATCCTTTGCACTGAATCTCGTCAAAATTAGTAATTTTCAAAAAATTTTAACAATTTTACAATTAGTCTAAGGCAAGCATTTCATCTGGTCACGAATGTGTGAAAGTCGACATTACAGAGAATTATGAAATTATCTAATCGTCTACAAAATATAAAAGTAAAACTAATTTTACTCATACATGAGCCACAAACAGAAGCATTTGGCGTGGACTAAATATCACACGACATGGACTGACAAATGGCAAGTACAGTAGAGCGTCGATTATCCGAAAGTCAATCATCTGAAAGAATTCCAGTCCGCAAATTTAAATTTTCGCCAGTGCTGTGGCGCTGTAATCTTTGCCTATGTCTTGGGCTACTCAAATATTTTACGTTTTTGATACTAAATTAACTTCTGAAGTATAATTTTTTATTGTTTTTATATTTTTCAATATATTTAATTTGTTCGTAAAAAATAAAAAATTAATTTTTAACGATACAATAGTCTTTGTTAGGCTTAACATCGACGAAAATTTAACGTGAAGCGACACGCAACGGAGAAAAATGTCAAGATGGAATAAATTAATATATTTTTTCGTACATAATCGGTTATCCGAAACATCGATCTTCCGAACAACTGTAGTCCGTAAATGATTCGGATAATCGACGCTCTACTGTAGTTATATGAAGTGATAGAAAAAATTCAACACGGATGGGCCAGATGCTGCAGAAGCTATTGGCCCAATACTAGAAAAATGAATTATTTCACTCAACATGGCAGTTATGTGTGGAAGTGTTATGGTACGGTATGCATTTGGATAAAGTGGTAGACAACTCTAGCTTTTATCTTTGGATGTATTAATGCTGTAGTATATTAGCAAGTACTAGATATGTCCCTAACGCCATTTGTAGAAAAAGGAAAGGATCTGTAGAAAAGGAGAAAATTTACGACATATGTATCTGCAATTTACGAAGTTTATCGTAACCCGATTTTCGATTTACGACAAGATATCATTGATCCGATTTCGAGACTAGTGTTTTGTCTAATAAGAATATAGTCCGGGAACTTCTAAATGGCACATATTGTCCCTGACGTCAGTTTCGGTGGTAAAATAGAAGAGAGAAAAAGAAGGCATCACTTTCCTTCTATTAAAATTCTGGCGTTGATGGAGGGAGTCGAGTGAAAAACAATAATAATTTACAAGGATTAATAGATAAAACTACTAACTCTTGTGGAAAGGGTAATTGTTAGAGAATAATCTCTGTATAATTGATTATAACAGTTCTGTTTATAATTTTAACACGATTAAGAAAATTGTATGCTATGTGTTGGGGGTCGGTTGTTTTTGCATGTGCGAAAACCTAACGACCTGGGCCCGATCAGGTTACACCTACGTGTGGGCGCGAGATTTGGGGACATCTTTTGTTCGGGTCAGTTAGACGAGCAGGATGTGACCGGAGTCCAGTCCGTTATAATCAACCAACCTGAAATTCTTTGTTAGAGATTAAAAGGGAATTTCACGATTAGAGATCTTTACACTCTAAGATCCTAACACTAAGAATGACGTGTACGCCTTTTCAAATGAGGTTTCAGTTCCTCAATTAAACTTAGTTGTGTCTTTCGAAATTCGATAATATCGGATTAATTACGTTAACAAAATGTGTTCGATCGACAGACGGGGTAAATGACAAATATTCGATAAACGGTGTAATTTATCGATCGAAAAAGCTAAATACAGTTCTTACAAGACAGCTTGAATTTTCTTGACATATTCACAATAAACAAATAAAATTGTATGTAGCGCCATCTGTTACGAAATTTTCTTACTAAAACTTTTTATGTTATTAATTATTATAAAATGACAAAAGGCTTAATTTTGAAAATGAGAATGAGTTTTATAAAAAAATTGTAAATGATAGTAACGAGTAAAATCTTCATTAAGAGTCTACCCCAC